AAGAAAACAAGACTGTCTTCAACCACAGAGAAATTTCCATTACCCTCTGGGGTATTTGTTCAAGCTGTAGCTGGGTTCTCCCAGCAGAAATAATTGTCCTGAGTAGGATGACCGACCAGTTTTCCCAGGACTGTTCCAGTTTTAGTACTGGAAGCCCTGTGTTCCAAGCAACCCATCATTCCCAAGCAAACAAGGACAGTTGGTCACCATAGAGTCAGCACTCAGTATACTTCACAGACTTACACCATTTGATTCACACAATAAATTTATAGTGATTCAAGATACTGATATCCCCATTTTTCAGATGGCAAAATTGAGGCACCAACAGATCCAGTGATTATGATTAGAGGTCACATACTCAAAGATAGTGGCAGAGCCAGGATTCAATCCCAGGTCTGTCTGCTTTCATCTAGAGCTACTTGCAACAACACCCACAATGGGCATTCAAGAGCCACACAACTACTTATAGTTGCTGATGAAATTCCATCTGATTAGACAGTTCCTCAATAATTTGTCTCTAAATTGAGACAATTAACATGGCTCCTTATGTTCTACAGCATACATAGTACATCATTCCTGACTAGTAATAATAGCAATAATAATATTAATGTACCACTTTAATCACTGTAGAATTTTTTAACAAAAACTTTGCAACATTTGGTCAAAGATTATTAAAGATATTAAAGATATTAAAGATTATTTATATATCCAGTACAAAGAGGGAACTTCTGGGGCCCCTTCCAACCCTAAAAGATAACAATTCTCAGATTCAGAAGAAATGGACCCATATTCCTGGGGAAAAAAATCTTTGTGTACCCAACTGGGGATTTTTTTTTTAAGTGTGGATTCTCAAAAAGAGAGATAGAGAGATCTGGGCGAAAAGAGGGAAAGATGGAAGTGACAGAAATAATGAAGGAGCTGGGGGGAAAAAGGAAGGTAAGAAAGAAAAAGAAGAGGTAGACCTGTGTGATGAGAAACTAGAACAGACGAATGAAAAACGACAGCGCAGAAAGTCATGGAGAGCTCAATTAATTAGTTATTGTCCATTTCCTTGAGAGACCTCTAACAAATCTGTCCTTGTCAGTGACAGGAAATCTTCTTGAATTCTTCGTAAAAGGATATTAATGGCCGCCGCCAGCTTCAGCACCCCTCCACTGACACTGTAAAGCAGGGAGGTGGCAGAAGTCCCCAGGTCAGGAGGAGGAGATGGCAGATGCAGATGGCAGGAGCCAGCCTGGTGCAGGAGGACTCCTCTCGTGTGTACACACGGAGTACTCCTCCAGCCCACAGATTGCCAACCCTCTCTCCTTGACTGGTACATCGGAGGCTGACATTTAATACCCTGAGGATATAGATGTTTGAAAGCTGGTTATTGTAACAAAGGAAGCCATCCAAACTCTGCAAGACCAAATGGATCAGATAAAGCTGACACAGAGATAAATCTGTTTTACATCCATTCTTGCACCAGTTTTGCTAATCTGTGTAGCTATAGCTTTCCCACTGAAGGGGAAAAAAAACAGCCCACCACATGTCGGCAAGTCCACATCCCGTTCCTATTTTTAATCTCCAAGGTATAACATTCTGGGCAGAAACCGGTTTTATGCTGACTTTTGCGTGAACTCCATTCACGTAGGATGACACAGGAAGAAAATGAGAAAGGGAGGATGAGAGAGAGTAGGGAGGAGGAAAAAAAGAGAGAAGGGGAGAGGATTTCTTCTTGAATGGCTGTGTGAATGCAGATTTTGTTTTAAATGAATGAATTCTGCTCCATCATTGACACAGGATCGCTTCTCTCCCAGGCAGTGAGACATCTACTCTTCATTAGCCAGTATTTATGCTGCCAGATTGGACTTTCATATGGGAGCCTGAAGCAGGAATGCTGCAGATGGCAGGAAAGCTCTCATGAGATTGATAACGATGAAGAAAGATGCCACATTAAGTCAGAAGGTGCCACTGTTAACATCCCAGCTCCGAGGAGAATATTTCTAGCTAGCGCTCCCCTCCAAGGGCTGTTTCTCTTCTGGCTTCAACTAAAATCCATCCCCCCCTTCCCAAAAGCTCTCTGCCCACCTTCTGGCTGGCAAGTGAGGGGTACATTGGCTTTCCTCTCTTTTGTGTGTCAACTCTTTTAGCCTCAGGTACTTAACCTTTGCTTTCCAAAGGTGGTTGAGATGCTAGCCGTGGGGAGGAACTGCAGGGAGGGGAGAGAGGGAGAAGGCATTTTAGTCCACAGTTCCTTTAACAAAGGAGCCACTATAAGAAGTTCCGTGCAGGAAACCTGAATGGTATTTATTGTTTCGATTCAGGCCCTCATTGCATCTGCTGCCTTTCAGCCTTTCAAAGACAGACGCTGTGTTCATAAAACCAGAGCCCTGCCTCAAAAGCCTTGGAGAAGGGGCGATCTCCAGGGTGTAGGACTGAGGCTTTGGGAAAGTCAACGCCACCAGAGGCTCTGCGGCGCGAGGCGTGTGCTGCTGCAATGGAGGAGGACAGCCTAGTGACTCACTTGTACCCCCAGCCGCCAGCTACACTAATTGGTACCTCATTCAAGAAAAACACAGGTCCTCATCTATGAAGTTGGAGCTTTTCCACTGCAGAAGGATAAAAGAATCCATTACATCTCAGCAAAAAGGGTGCAACGTCTTGTTTCAACTTTTAATTTCCACGGTCCTGGTCACTGATTTGATCTGACAAGTGACAAAGACCCTCTCCTTTGACCCAACTTGAGTCAGGCTCCTCTGAGTCCTTTCTGGCTAGACCCAACCTTGGCTTTGCCTCTCTGTTCTCTAGAACCCAGTTTGAGAAAGAATCCTGCTTAAGTCAGTTTAGTGAAAATTCCCATTCTTTGTATCTGACTACCATCTACTCCTGTGGTCCCCAACCTATGGGCTGTGGTATCAGTATCAGTCTGTGGTCTGTTAGGAGCCAGGCCACACAGCAGGAGGTGAGCGGCAGGCAAGCAAGTGAAGCTCTATCTGCATTTACAGCTGTTCCCCATCACTTGCCATCCCTCCCCCACTGCACCTCTCCCCATGGAAAAACTGTCTTCCATGAAACCAATCCCTGGTGCCAAAAAGGTTGAGGACCACTGCTCTATACCTTATCACCCTGGCCTGACTTCAGCAATAATCCTATCAAGTCTGTTTAGCCATAAACCTCTTTTTCTTGATGTTTCTTAGTAATTTTCCATCCAGTTACCCCACCCCTGCTCCTTGGTCATAAATCTTCACTTGTCCCCGTTGGAGTCAGCGTGGAGCCCCATCTCCTTTCCTTTCCCCACTGCAAGACCCCCTTGCCATGGTCCCTATACCTGTCACCATGGTCTCCCTTGAATAAAGTCTGCCTTATCATCTTTAACAACCATCATGAATAATTTTTCTTCTTTCACACCACAAATGTGTCTTTGGCATTTAAAGCAGAGACTGAGTTCTCTGGTTCCTCCTGACATCCCAGCTCCCTGGATGGCAACCTGACACCAGGCCAGGAAGGGAGAGTGGGGGAGAATTTCTCTAGCCCCCAGTGCAATCAGATAGGAAAAGCATTTCCCTTGTCCAGAAAGAGTCACCCAGAAACCAAACCAACAGGCAAAGCGTGACACAATGAGACGTGCAAACTTAGCAAGTTTGGAAAATCTGGCTGCTCTCACCCAACCTGAGTGATATATTATCAGAGTCCATCCTAAAAAAAAAAAAAAAAAATGCAGGATAGAAAACAAAGGGAGGCCACATCAAGGGCCCCTGTGCAGCAATCACAAATTCATGTCGGTGTGTAAGCATTTAATTAGCTTCCCAGGTATACAGGAACTCCAGTCAATTTAAGACACACTAGGTGGCTCCTCCCGGACCACGCCAACCCCCTTGGAAGCCTGGACGCAGAAAGCCTACCATCAGGGAAGGGTATTCGGAGAGTCTTAATTGAAGGGAATTCCTATTTTTATGTCGAGATGATGTACCATCAGCATTTCCTCCCCCACAAAAATACACAGAGGGGCAACTAGTCCAAATAACGGGTTTAAATCTGTAAATTACAGCACTGCTTCAAGGAATTTTTAAGGTCGTTTTGTGTCTACGGAAAAGTTAGATGGCATCATAAAATTTTTAGAGCTAATGTAATCTTTATACAGTGGATTCATCTCAACTGATGGGATGTGTTTGAGACACTACCCTGCTCCCCCTTCCTTTTGACTGTCCTCGAGTCCTGAGAGGGAGTCACAGCCATGGTACCACAAAAACACCTTCCTCCCTTCAGGATGCAAGGCCTCGGAACCCAGGTCTTCATTTTATTTCCCTCCATGGGGAGAAGAAGAAGGGCTGGCTAAACATGGTTAATTTTCTGAGTTGGTTGCCTTTCTGCTGTGGAGTCTAATCCGCTCTTACATCTCCTGTGTGTATTTCTTCTCGTCGCTTGGGTCTGCAGTGACCTTCTCATACCATTTCATTAAATGCCCTCAGCCTCGGTAAATTACAACACTTTGAAGCCTTGGAGTTTAGCATATAAAAAAGCAAGTACCTCTATATACTGCCCTGGGATAAGGTGTGATGAAAATCCCATACAAGCTGAACTGTACTTCCTAATCAAATGGGTGTAACAGATGGCTGTTGGAGCGAACCATCACAATGGAAATATCTGCAGTTCTCATGGTAACGGAATCTGCCAGGTCTGAGGGATTTGCTGTTTTTCAGGACATCTGAGCTGCAATCTCTTTCGAGCTGTCTAGCAGTCTCAGTCTCGCTCTCTCTCACTCTCTCAGCATGATGGAGATAGAGTTGAAAGGTGGAGCCCGATTTTGCATTCCAGCTGTGATTAAAGACACAGGCACACATCCTGGGAGATAATACGCTGCATATTCATTATGCTATCTAGAACCTCTTTAGCTACCGGGACGCGACTGTCATACAATTACAATATGCCTTCTTCAGGAGGAGAGGGGGGTTGGGAAGAAGGAGATCAGAGAACGACAGTGAGGGAGAGTATGAGGAATTAAGATGCATGAGACGTACCTTGCAATAAAGATATGGAGCGATATTAAAACGAGCAGTTGTTTCCATTTCATGGCAACATGTCAAGATGACTTAACATAGCAGGATAAAACATCTGGCCTGGGGAAAAAAAAAAACACATGATGTCAAATTTCCAAAGCATAATGTAGACTATGTGGAAGAAAAACAACAGATAAGCAACTGTGTACCTTCCCAATAACTGAAAGCATGTGGAAGATTTCTTTATGCCCCACAATCAGAAAGGAGATTCATTTCATAAGGTGGAGGTTAGTATATAGACACTGAGCTTTCATTATAAATCTAAGCTTTGGGTTTAAACTCACAGGACCACATTGGAAAAGAGGGTTTTTTGGTGGGGTTTTTTTGTTTGTTTGTTTGTTTTTTGTTATTTTTTTCCTCATGCTATTCATAACCTACAGCAGTGCTCAGAAAGAGGGAAATAATCAGTCCCAATTCTACTTTATTAAAATCTTTTCCTCCAAATCCCTCTCGATTTAAAGAAATAAGGAAAAGTATACTGTCTTTTTTGCTATAGTACCTGCTAGCAAACACACACACACACACACACACACACACAGGGTTGAGTCACAGCTGCCTGGTCCCTTGGGTATTTGAGCTTGAAGATCAGACAACATATAAGAATTCAGCCATGACTCAAAATGGAAACAAAGACGACCATTCTTAGCAAACCCGGCAACGTGAAATGAAAAACTACAGGCTGTGGGCTGGAGCCCCTAGCACGCTTACCCACCCCATTGTCCTTGAGGGCACTACTGTTAAATACATATGACAGCCAAAGAGATGAGGAGAATGGTTTCCAGAAAGCAATGATTGGATCTCCCTTTTCATGAGGTAGAATAGGCAGGCCTATGTAAGCCTGTAAAGTAGCTCTTGAGAACAGGCCCTGGGAGGCAGCATTGTCTCCCTCTCATACGGCGCCTGAAGAACATATTATATTATATAACCTTTCTCCAAAGCCCGCCCTGCTCTGACCGGGACCCTCTTCCTTTAGAAGCCTGCTAATAACAACTTGTGGATGACAATCTCCGTCTTAACAAGCCGGATTAGTTAGTTTAAAGCAATGAACTGAGGCCATTTGTGCAGATGCTAATCAAAAAAAGAAAAAGGAAAAAATTAGAAAAGACCCATGCGCCTCCATCTCTTGTAAGTACAATATAGATAAAGAGGAGCACGTCCCCGGGCCACATCTGTGCGCTGACCTCCAAGGCACACAAAGGTCTCCGGGGCCGAGGGGCTATGAAAGGAGGGAAGAAGGTTTGTCCGAGGCCAGCAGCAGACAACAGTGGCTCTGAAAGGCCAGTTCTTGTGGAACTGTCTGAAGCTTTTTTTTTTTCCTCCTTAGAAATAGTTCTTGTCTCCTATGAGGTCTTTGCTTTTTTTTTTTTTTTTCCCTAAAGACACTTCCCAGCTTTCGGCACAGAGCCTGGCACATGGTAGGGATATGCATGAAATGTTTGAAGGATGGAGGGATGATGGATGGATGAATAGATGCACAAGGAAAGATTCAAAAAATTCAAAATATCCAAAACAAACAAATAAATCCCACAAATATATGACTTCCCTGCACCAAGAACAAAAATAAAATTGCACTAAACACGATCAGCAGCACATTTGGAAAGATACCCTGTGTCTTTGGAGATCAATGGCCAGATTGATTATTAACATTCAACCATCACTGGCGCATTAGAACATACACACAAAAAGGAGAGCTACTCAGCTGATTATGCACACTTAGAACACTGCGGAAAATTGGAGCCCATTAAAAAATATAATCTGTCATTTCATCAGCTTCTCTGAGAGGTCATTTCTTTCTACACCACAGCTAGGAAACTGACTCATGAAGGAAGGAATGTTTAGTTTCCCTTCAAATATTCTGAGAACAACATAATATGCACTCTATTTCATATTGAATCTGAGTGTGTAATCAGTGTGAGAGAGAAAAACAAATTGCTAGAGAGAACACTAGCTCTCACATTCCAGAGGCTGACACACACACACACACACACACACACACACACACACAGCTTCTATTGGCCTCTTAAATTTTAACTGTCTTCAGAGTACACATTGCTGTTTTAAGAATTCTCTAAGCCAAATATTTGCTGGAATGCTTACCTCCTAAGAAGCTCAGAACGTCCTGCCGAGATCATTCAGTTAGAAGACATTCAACTGCCCCACAAGTTAGAGAAGGGTAAGTTTAAGAATTGGAATGATTCCCAACAAGCAAAACATAAAAGCTGCCTCTCTGGGCAACACTCATCAATGACACTCATAACAAAGATATTTTCATAAGGAAGAAGGTTGTACAGAAGAAGATTGTAGTCAACCTCAAAAAGAAACAGTTATCTTTTCCTTTCAAAATTTACAGATATTTCAAATTGAAAAAAATATAAGTTCTGGAAATATATTCAGCTCATATTGTCTCTAAGCCACAGAGATCTTTCGGTTTATTGTCAATGATTGTCTCATCTACTAATGTCCCTGCCACCTAGAGCTGAGGGATGGAATTTTCTAAACAAGGTGTTGCTACTCTCAGTAAGTTTTAGGATTAAGTTTTATTTCAGACCTCACCTAATTCCCTGGAATGTTCAAAGCCCAGTAGGATGGTCAAGCCAGTTCTTTCAAAGGAGTTCTTTTATTGCTAACCTTCTCTAGAATAGAGCCTCAAGAATTATATTGGAATATTGTGTTCCAGGTGAGTTCACCAAATCTGTGCTGTCTACCATACACTTTCAAGGTTTGAGGGGAACACTAAATGAATCAGTACCGTCTTGCCCTCAGAGAGTTTACAATCAAGCTGGAACAATTAAGACAAGATTACTCATGGTAATAATACAAGGCAGGATAAAATAATACCACAAAAGAAATGTAATTCAAGGACTCTGCCGAGCCAAAGGAGGGTTTATAAAAGGCTCTATGAAAAATGGAAAATGTGATTAGCTTTGAAGGATTATGTGTAAGATTTCAGCAGACTGGAGCATGGGTGAGGATATTCCAGAATAAGGAAATCACGTGAACACTGAGGCAGGATAGTGTTGAGGCCAATGAGGACACACCAAAGAGACATATTTGGCTGTGAAGAGGAAAACAGAGGGTTCTATCAGAGGAAATGGTATTTAATCCCAGGAGCATGTGGGAGCCACTGACCATTGTTGACCAAAGGAACATTTTAATTGGGAACTGCAGCTTTGCTAGGTTCACAACACACCTTGCTCTGTGAGGTTTCCAAGCCAGCCCCAGGCAAGCAGCAGTCCCGAGGGGGCATTACCAACAGAAAATCCGGGTTGGGGGAGGACCAAATTTGCATGAAGCACCCTTTTGCCTTCTGAAAGTATGACCTTTTAAGAATCAAAACAGCAAGATGTAAAACCTGTCCCATTCTGCGTGTCTTTGGAAATAAATAAACCTTTTCTATTTCAATATTTGGCATCGTGACAAGAACTAAGAGGAACTAGAGAGATAATTAATAAGGGCATGAGGGGAAAGTGCAATTAAAAATGGCAAAGACTACTTCGTCAATAAGTGCTTCATACTGAGAAAGATTATTACTGCGATCTCCAGCTTCAAACCTGAAATCAAATCACTCTGAATGGATAATTTGAATGTTATTAGGGGGAGGAAAGCCATCATGGTTCCTAGCCTCTAAATTACAGGAGAAACAAGATTTTATTCTGACCTCACCTTTCTGTCAGTTTAAATCAACAAAATAATCACAGCTGAGTCCCAGTTGGCATAACTCTCGGTAACTTCAAGTTTTAATGTGGTTCTTCAGTTTCTTCACCAGAAGAGGAAGTGAGAAGGAGAATGCCTCAAGAAGAATCTTTTCCAGGGAACTTAAAAAAAAAAAAAGTCTCCTAGGAAACAAGAAAGGCAAACTCCCTTTATCTGAATAAGGGCCATTGTTGGAAGTAAAATCTAGCTGGAACAAATCTGAAAGTACAAACCCCACCAGGCCCAGAGATGTTTGAATCTCTGGCCCAGTTTACAGAGCCCACTTAAAGTACTGATGTTTCCCATCTAAAGAGGAGTCCACGTGTTTGTCACTCATAGGAGAACTTTTGGCCTCTGCCTTTTTGTATGGAATGATTCAAAACTGAATCATTTCCTGCAATTTAATTTCATAGCTGAATGCAAAATATAGGAAGATAAGGTCACAGGGACATGAATCTATCTCCAGAAAGCGAGCACACTCCCTGGGCTGCTGCCGTAAGTGAAGATTTAATTGGACACAGTAGGTTTTGCTATTGTTGCAACATGGAAATAAATTATTTTAAAAGTGGCCAATGATCACTGCCAGCTCAGCAGCCATACTGGTCAGAGAAGGGGTTGACTCCCAATGATTGCTTGAGATAGAAAGAACTAATTGAGATAGAAAGAAAGAATTGATTACATCAATTTCAGATAGTTGTGAATGGCATTATTATTTTATAATCATCATCATCGTTGTCATACTGCCTATATTTGTCTAATAATCTTATAAAAGGACGATGGCCAGAGAGGAAAATTATATATTGCCTATGTTCTCTTTACCTTAAGTGAAGGAGGTCCACTAAAATAAAAATGGAATGAACGGTGTCTGGCTATCATTTCTGCTCAGGATACTTGGCTCAAATTCATTTAAGTCAGGGGTTACAAATTACACCTGCAGTCCCAATCTAGCATTCTGCCTGTGTTTGTAAATAAGGCTTTACTGGAACGCGGCCACACTTATTCATTTATGCATTGTCTATAGCTGCTTGTACACTGCAATGGCAGCATTCTGTAGTTAATGACAGAGACCATGTGACCTGCAAAGCTTAAAATATTTACTCTGTGGCTCCTCACTTGGCCAACTCCCTCTTTAAATCATCATCGTCATTATCATCATCACCCCTTCCAATCGTAGAGGTCATGGAATGTCTGAGGGTTTTACCACATCTCGTTTGATAACTCCTTTCTGATACGCAAAGATGGAGATGATTTCAGTGCCCAGAGACACCTCAGACCACTGTCACTTCTTCATGGGAGATTCAGACTTGACGTTCCCTTCATCGTGGGACAATCAGGGTAAGGATGTCACTTTGTGTGTAGGGTGAGGA